GAGCACACCGTTTCCACGGGTAAGTAGCACCAGTTCTGAATCATCAGATTGGATTGGAGATAGTTCAATTCTGTGCCAAGTTTCTTCAAATTTGGGCAAGACAAGCAGTTTGCAAATTACGGCAAATGTTGGCCACATGGGAAGCTCCAGTAACAGTCTTTCAGTCGATCTGTCGATCCTGCATACAGTGATCCGCAGCAATCATCCCGCAAGTGGTTCAAGTATTTTCACAATTGTTGGTGGCAATTTCATGATTCCTTCCTCAGCTGGAGTCCGCATCCATTCATCTGCTTCTGAATTCTCTGAATGGCTTTCGCAAACTTCGATTTCTTGTCGTAGCTCCACAACAACAAGACACTCCATGTCTGTGGTGATTACTGCTGGAAATTTGGGACAGACCATTTCGAGTTCGTTTTCGTCCGACCTTTCATACCTGTCAAATTCTGCAATGACAAATGGCGCGAGTACAGGTTCATATTCAGTTACCATAATCGGAATGGGATATTCGATGGTCTCTAATTCTCAAAATTCTCGAGCTTCTCGAACCTCATGTGAAGGTTCGCAATGGCAAAGCGAGACAAGCATCAAGTGTTTGAATGCGGTTCTGATTGGAACATCACTCAAACTCATCGTCACAGCTGGTCTCAAAGCTTCTTCACAATCGGATGTATTCTCATTCAATCTATTCTCTTTGAGTAGCGAGGCACCTTCGAACAGCGTTAGCAGCGGCTCCACTTCTGTTACAATCTTTGGTACTAGCTTTTCCCTCAGCTCACATTCAAACTCTTTAAGGGTCTATCACTCCGCTTGTGAAGCCACTAAGTGGAGTGCTGAGACAGAAATTACATGTTCTGTACCAAAAGCTGTTTTGAGAAGCAGGTCTCTTCAAGTATCAGCCATGGGCTATGTGGGAACTTCAAGCCACTTTCATTCGTTCGACCTTCCTGCTACCAGCTCGCTCTTTCGAGCCAACAGACCCTCATATCCCCAAGGCATCTTTATTCATCAGATCCTGGTATCGTACAGGCTGTCTACTTCCAGAGGAAAGATAGGCATGACTCCATGCCAAGCCTCGGAATGGGATTCAGTTACAAGCATATCGTGCCAATACCCACAAGGCTCTCAAGCATCTTTGCCTGCTTTCGTAACAGCTGGTCAGGGCTTTATTGCAAGTTTCACGGAAACATTTTCATATGATCGTGATAGTATTTCGGTCATCCTACCAAGGAACATTCCATCGACAGGATCATCCCTTTTCATGCTGTTTGGAAATTATTTTCTTGCAGAGTCTACCACCAGAGTACGGACCCAATCTACATCATCTGAACGAACACGATGGATCTCCGTCTATTCTTTGAATGTCCTGTCAGGTGCAGTGCAAGCTGGTACACGAAGACTTAGCCTTTCCATTGGCAAGCAAGTCGGCACATCAACGGAGACGATATCAACTGATAACGTCCATATTTCAGTTATCAAGAACTCCAATACCCCTTCAAACGTCCAATTGAGACTTGTCAGCATCTGTGGCTCAAGGTTTGGAGTCGTATCATCGAGCCCGTTCGCTAGGGTATCGAGCACTAGCTGCGAAAGAACGAAATGGGTTTCAGACTCTTCGATTACAGCATTGACTGTTATGAATGTTGCATTGCATTCTCTTGCCAACGTGGTGACTGTAAGTCAATTGACGGGCAGTATAAGCAATTCGTTTTCTTCTGACGTGGCTCTTGGAAGCATCACGTTACCCACAAATGTGATGGTGACTGGATCCATGCAAATGTCTATCTTTGGAAGTTCAATCTTGAATTTGACTCCGATGGCTAGATTAGGAGGAACCAAGTGCGAATTGACCAAGTGGCTGTCAAGCACGTCTATTCTTAGCAGGGATGCAAGTGGATTTGGAGGTTCACAACAGCTTTCACTCACCAGCTCTACTCTTGCCAGGACTTTAACTAATGCTTTTTCTTACAATCTATGCACACTCAGTGAAAAGAAAAAGTCGAATTTACCAAACACTGGACACATTTACATCACCCTTGCTGGCTCCAATATCGGTATTAATGACGGAACTGTCCGTGGAAGAATTCAGTCAACCATGATGGAACGCAGCATGTGGATTGCTGAAACAAGTATTTTATGTATAGCACCAAAATCTTCCGGACACAGTGGAGGAATTGCCGTCACCCTCAAGCAAAAGGTGGGAACCACTACATATCTTCTCTCAGCAGATTGTGGAGTTGTGAGTTCTATTCGAACATCAAACGGACCAAGTACAGGTGGGCTTACGTTCCAAATCGTAGGCGCGAATTATGGTTTATTTGCGCAATCCACGGTACACAGAACCGGTCAAACATCATCTATCCGGACAAGGTGGGTTTCAGATACAAGTGTTGTCGGCCAGAAGAAGGGAGGGAAGGCTTTCACAAGGCAAGTAGTAATCACTGCAGCAAGGAAGGTGGGATCAATCAGTGAAGTGCAATCATTCGATGCTCCATCAATCAAAAACATGCAGCTTTCTAATTCGCATACCACGAGCATCGCATCGATGTCTGTCTCAGGCTCTAGTTTCACGTCATTCCAACTTTCCTTCACGGTTAGGTTAGGCGATACTGCAGCAATGATCTCAGCCTGGGTGTCATCCACATCCATCAAGTGCCTGGCCAGCGGTTCCATTGGACGTTCTCAGCATGTCTCTATCTCGTTACAGTCCGTAGGTAGTATTACTGAGATGTTCTCCACAGACGCGCCGTCATTAGTTTCTTTCAATGTCACCAAGGGTGATGACTTCTATTCACTTGAATTCCCTGGAAATTCCTTGTACGACCGGGCTCAGCTAGGGTCCTTCAAAGGTTTTCCGACCACAGAGACAACAATCGAATTTTGGATGAGAAAGAATGCAAGAAGTTCAATTCAAACGGTTCTAAGCTGTCGTTCTTACACAGGTTTCGTGAATGAAGTCGTCATTCGGGCGACGGATGACAACCGATTAGTCTCTCAGATTAAGAATGAGCCTTCGCTCCTAACCTCCTGTGATTTTGTTCCTGGTCAGTGGAATCACTTTGCATTTACATGGGAAAGCGCAAGAGGAAGGGTAGTTTGTATAAGAAATGGAGTGGTACAATCCGAAGCCTATGGCATTGCAGTAGGCGGGGTACTTGACCAATCCATTGTAATGATGATTGGGCAAGATCAGAGCGAAAGCAGAAGTGAGCTCGAAGCTTTCTCCGGCGGCATTTCTCAACTTCGGATCTGGGATTTGATTAGACCGTTGCCAGACATAGCATACTCCATGGACAAAACCTTCGATTTCACCGTCTTTTCACCGCCTGGTTTGGTTGCATATTACACTTTTATGAAATATTACACTGGAGACGACAAATCACCCTACCGCAATGATCTTGTGATCGTTGGTAATGTAGAAACAATACTGTTAGTCAATGCTCCTGTTGGCCTGACGTTGTATCAGTCAGAGAATAGTTTGATTTCTCCTTGCAATTCTCCTGATATCGGCCTCGTCGGCATTTATTTGCGAGGAAAAACTTTCGGACTCGCAAGTTACTCTGTCTCTAGCCGTATTGATGGTCGCACAGCTGGAATATCAACGCTCTGGTACTCGGATTCTTCAGTGAGAGTGCACCAAGGCTATGCAACGCAGTCAACAAGGTCTTCCCTGATGACTGTCGGCCAGCAATGTGGCACAATTTCAGAGGCTTTCACCATCGACTCCCCTGAGCCCAGCACTGTTCTCCCTAAAAATTTACCTTCGACTTCTGCAACGTCAATCACTATCGCTGGTAGTGGGTATGGTGGACTAGACTACAGCTTACTAGGGAGAATGACGAGCACATCTCTTGAGATGACTATATGGTTTTCTGACACAACCCTCTTTGGCAAAGTGATGTCAGGATCAATGAGATCTGGCATTCCAAGTGTGACTGTTGGAAGTGGTATAGGATCTCTTTCTGCAGCATTCACTTTTGATTCGGTCGTGCTTGAGAGTGAAATTCATCCACAAACCAATTTGCTGACTTCAGGATCCTTGTTGGTCGATGTCACGATGAAAGTTGGATACTTCTCACGAAGCTACTCTTCTAGGATTGGAGCTTCAAGCGCTGAAAGGACCACTTGGATGTCCAAGACCAGCATCAAATCCAAGGCCTCTCTTGGAGTCAGTCAGAGCTTGGCAGTGATAATAACAGGCGATACAACCGTTGGAAGTGTTACAGATGTTCTATCCTTTGATACTTCACTTTCACAACATTTCAATGTCTCGGTCACAAATTTTGGAAATATTGATCATTTGCAAGTTTCTATCTCGGGTTTGGGCATCGGATATTTTGATAATTCCATTAGTTCAAGATTGTCATCGACGGGCTCGGAACGATCAGTATGGTTGTCAGGTAAACCAATCAATCGGAAATTTTATTTTTTTCCTTCTGACATGAATGTGCCAGATACTTCTCTATCCTTCAAGGTTCCAGCGTTCAATTTCGCGACCAGATCATTCTTGATCAGCCTTGTTCTTCGAAGCGAGACAGCAACAGAGACTTATTCGTGTGACATTGTTCCTTTCTTCGTCACAAGCGGAAAAGCCGTAACTCCTGCCACTGGTTCTTTTGCTTTGCCGGGTAAGTTGCTTTTGTTCGTCTCCACCAATGATTCTTACGTGTGGAATCGCAGTGTTGGGAGATCAATTAGGAACGTATTCATGCACAGAGAAAGTAAGGATAGGTAAGACTGGAAGTGAAAGGACACTCTGGTCCTCTTCTACGTACATCATGACTCGGACTCCGGCTGGTTCATTTGGATCTCTCGGTATCAGCCTCTCGATTGAAATGTTGGTTTCTACGCAGTCTAGGCTTGTTTCATATCTGCCACCGGATATGAGCAGTGCTCGACCTCGCAATGTACCTGCATCGGGTTCAATCAGCCTTTCCGTGCTAGGGCGAAACATGGGAACACGTTCATTCAGCTCGAGCCTTCGAAGTTTCCGAACCAGTACAATGGCAACAAAATGGATTGCTGATACATCTTTGATTGCAAGAAATGCAAAGGGACTGGAGGTTTCAATCAAGCTTGTCTCTAGTGTGTCTTGTGTCCTTGGAACTCGTACCAAACTCCTCACATATGATGGGCCCTCTGTCAATCAAGTGTCTTTACCTCGTAATTTTGAACCCAGTGCTGTTGTGTCATCGTCAGTAACTGTCTTGGGAACAAACTTCGGTTATTTCCACCAGACCCCGGCAAGCAGGACAGGAAGCTCCTGCAACTCAGCGACTTTCTGGATCTCCAACACAGCTCTCTACGCAAAGGTTTCCAATGGAATCTCTTTCACTGAAGAATACATGGTCACAGTTGCAGTTGCAAGATTCGGCACATTGACCGAGGTAGATCTCGTGTTCCTGGAATCTGAAGATGATTGATTTCAATGCAGGTTATGAGCTTCGATTCTCCCTCACTCAGCCTTGCAACGCCTCCGAACAGTCCCACGTCAGGCGGGAAGAGCATGACAATCAGGGGAAGAGACTTCGGAGCGTTTGATCATTCGTCAAAGGCACGAGTAGCAGCTGACACAAATACCAGAGTCATATCGATGAATGGGGGTAAGTCAAAACAGGTTGCAACTCCTGTCTCTGAACTTTTCTGTCAGGAACCGCCTTGGAGGCGACCAAATGGTTTTCTGCTACTATCATCGTTTGTAGGTTGCCACGAGGATTGCTGTCGAATTATCCCATTGCTTTGAGCATTGCTTCTAGAGTATCTACCATCTCTCAGACCTTGACGTACGACATGCCTACAATCTACGCGAGCATAGATCCCAATGGCCCTTCTGCGGGAGGCAGCACTTCTCTTGTGTTGGGATCTAATCTTGGATGGATAGATACCTCCTTGTCCCTGCGGATCGGCGGTACCAACTGTTACACAACGCAATGGTTGTCTGGAAGCAGCGTGACTTGCTTGATCCCTCTTGGAGATGGCATCATGAGGGACATCGCGGTCACCTTATACAGAATGAAAGCGACGCTATCTTTGGCATTTAGCTACAATTCCATAGTCTTAGACTTCGCGCAACCGCAGACTAGCAACATTCCCCCCAATTCAACGACAAGTTTGACAGCCTTGGGCAAGAACTTTGGGAATGATCCTGTCTTAGCTGGCAGTCCAAATCTGAGAGTAGGAGGGACGTCTTGCATGGCGACGACGTGGGTTTCTGATTCTTCACTCACTTGTGCTGCAAGCAGCGGGTTGGGGGGCAGCAAGTCTATCACCTTGACTAACAGAGGGCGAACAAGCACAGTCTCCAACAGCATCACCTTTGACAATCCTAATGTACTCAGCATTTTGCCTCTCAATACCACGTACAATTCGTCATCCCCCTACTTGATTGCCATTCGCAGCTATTCCTTATTCACAACTCTATCGGCTAAGATCTCTGGAACCTCCACTAGGATGTCAGAATGGACCTCGGAATCTAGTGTGCTATGTATGACAAGCACTGGCTTTGGAATGAGCAAATCGATTGTGATAACAACATCGATACAACCTCAATCTCTCTCGCAAGTCTTCACGTATTCGTCACATTTCTTGAGCATCGGTCATCCCACAAATGGTCCCAAAATTGGTTTTACGGAACTGACCTTGCATGGATCCTCGTTCGGAACGGGAGATCGATCAGCTTCGGCCCGGATTTTAAGTTCTTCAGATGATTTGTATTTGACGTACGGAACGAGCGCTTCAACTACGTGGCTCTCTGATACCGCTCTGCTTGCCTTGACTTGTCGAGGTTTATCCTCGAAAGCCTCGATCACTGTCTCACTAGAGATACGAGTGAATACTCTTTCGGCTGTTTTCTCTTACGATGCCTTTCTAGACTTTGTTTTGACCCATCCAAATGCCCCACTCTCAGGGGGAGTGCGGACTACAGTCACAGGACAAAATTTCGGTTGGTTAGATCTGACACCAGCTTTGACAATAGGGGGCAGCATTTGTCAAGGTACAACCTGGCTTTCAGACAGTACCATTGAGTGTACCTTCTCTCGTGGAGACAAGTATTTGTTTCCGACTACCAACTCTACTGGGGAGCTTCTCGCTTTGACAATCAACAATTTGACGCAAACGAACCGACGCTACACGCTCTCCTACGATTCCCCCAGCATGTTCTTGATATCAGGAACAAATCTCCGAAGTAGGGGACAGTCTCTAATCAGCATCTACGGAAGCAACTTTGGAGTGCTCAGGGACCTTTCAGTGCACACCCGAGTTGGTTTCACTTCCGCTGAATTGTCAGAGTGGACATCAGACACTGCGGTCATCGGCCATTGCGCTTCCGGCGTGTCTGGCTTACTCTCAGTTGAGGTGACTGTAGTAGGAACTTTGAGTACAATATCGGAAGCTGTCACATACGCTCGCCCATCGATCAATTACATCTCTCCCATCTTTGATCAGCCTGGCGGAGGGGAGACGGTCAATATCACTGGCCAGAGCTTTGGAGTTTCAGATTACACGCCCAAGGTCTTCGTCGACTTTAATCCTTGCTTGATTAGCATCTGGACAAGTGACTCTGCCATCAGCTGTACAGTTCCGAGAGGCTACGGGCCCGGTCAAGGAGTCGCTGTGGCAGTGGGAGATGAATTTGGTACACCTTCGATTGTGTTCGAATACTTGGATCAAACCATTCTGGATCAAGGGGATGTTCCGCTTGCTTCTCACGCGTTCCTTGCACTCTGGCTTCGGGCAGACTCTTTGATCACAACATCTGATGCAAACCTCAACTATCAGGGAGACTTCAATTGGTCTGATTTCAGGAGCACAGGGTTGCCTGCAGTGGTAGTGAACGGACCAGAAATCTTGAAGCGGCAAATCAACGACTTGCCTATTGTGAGTATCCAACGAAAACGAACTTGATTGGTCGGGTGTTGACATTTGTTGCAGGTCCGATTATCAGCTAATCGGTCGAATGGGATCAAGCTTCCCGCTACCTTACATTCCATCTTCGGGCCAGGAGCCCTCGTGAACAGACAGTTTTGCATCTTCTATGTTGTAAAGATTTCTTCCTTCGATGAAATTGGCATGAATCTGCTTTTTGCTGGAAATGACCAAGGGAGCTCATTCTTCTCATTCAGGTCAGTAGATTAGACTCTCGTAACATCTATTGACACCTCTTTGCAGTGTCCTCCCCGTCGATGGCACACACGAACATGTCATGCGTATCATGATTGATTCAAACCTCGTGCAAAAACAGGACAGAAACATGACAGCGGAGCGGCGGTACTCCATCTTTGTTTTGGCACACGATGGCTTCGAGATGAAGACGTACAAGGGTTCAAGCTTGAGTCCAATTAGACTTGTTCACAACCTCGATGGCACCGAAGGAGTCTTTCCCTTCTCTAGCATCATCAATGGCAAGACCATTCTAAGTGAAGTTCCAATCATCAACCAAGTGTCAATCGGCTGCAGGAAACAAGGGAACACGACTACAGGATGTACGAATGCTGACATAGCTGAAGTCCTCCTATACGATACCATGTTGACTGCAGAAGATTTGGATCGAGTCGCAGGATATCTCAGTCGCAAGTATGACCTGGATTGGCAGTTCTCGACTGGCCCGACCATCTTGTCAGTATCGCCGACAAATGGCCCGACGACCGGCGGATCATATGTAACTTCATCACAACCTAGTGGTCGCCCTGACAATTCCTTCAGGTCACAATCTCCGGCGCAGCCTTTGGGAATAAGGAATCTAACATCCGAGTCACGTTTGCACAGAAGAACGCGACCCTCATAGGATTCTCAACCTACGAGAGAATGGTAAGGACTGACCTCCATCGCTGCAACAATGACGTTGGTGGCACAGGTGAATTACAACACACAGATAATCGTCACCAGTCCTCCTGGAGTAGGTTTCGTGCAGATCCGGATCCACGTGTTCGGTGTTCCGACATTCCTCGACAACGCTTGGCGGTACGACGCCCCTGAGATCCTTCAGCTCCAGCCGTCCACCGCGCCGGCCTCGGGAGGGACTTTCGTGTCTCTCATCGGGACAAACTTTGGAGAAGTCCATGTAATGATGTGCATGTTTTTCTGTTCTGATGGATCTGATGGAAGTTTCAGGACAATGCTGTTGTGGTGGTAGAGTCAAAGAAAGGAAGAAAAGAATGCGATCAAACGGTTTACATCTCAAACACACTGCTCCTGTGCAAAGTGCCTGCCAGTACTTTCGAGTCTGCGAATGTCATCATTGCAGTGGGGCAGCAGAAGAGCAATGCAGCGGATGTGCTCTACTACGGCATCCCGTCAATCTTCGATTGTTGGCCACAAACGCTTGATTGCATGGACTGCTGCGAGCAGCGGTGTACTTGGGAACAGGTGAGGGAGCAGACGGCCAACGGTCTTACAAGCTACGAGTGCAGAAAGACATGCAGTTTCCACTGTTCGACAGTATTTGTCAAGGCGACAGAGCCGTTGAAGGTGTATGTCAAGCTGAGCACTCTCAAGTCTTCTGGCTTTGTGATTGCCTGGGAACCTCCTTTGGACGACGGCGGCAGGTGAGACGAGTTGCGGGTGAGAGCGCGAGTCACTTATGAATGCCGCAGCACCATCCTCTATTACTCCATCTCCTTTGTCATCAACGGAAAGGAGCACATCGGCAGGACCATCGCCCAAGAGACAAGCTACGAGTTCCGTGGGCTCCCGTCCGAGACTTCGATCGACAATATTCTCGTCCGAACGGTAACTAAGTTTGGCTTCGGAAGTCCCAGCAAGCCCCCAGCCAGCGCCAAGACTCTTTATGCGACGCCGCCGTCGCAACCACTCGCTTTCAGGGTCGAGCAACAAAACTGTTACAGCGTTCAGATCGCTTGGGATGTTCCGGTAGATCTCGGTGGAAGGTAAGCTGCATGCGTACTTTGTCCTTTGTGACATGATTTGGACAGGCCACTCGAAGGGTACGATTTGAAATGGCGTGTAAGGGGTAAGCTTTCCTCGGCAACGCTCAGTGGTACCAACAGAACATACACCATAGAGAAAGTCAACAGTCCAACTATTGATCTGATATCTCTGAGCAGCTTCAACGATGTTGGTACCAGTGAGCCTGCGACAGTGAGGAATCTCTCCCTGCCTTGCTCAAGTTTCCCCGTGATATCAGACATCAACAATGTGGTTGTTGGTGCTGGGGAAGTTTCAGAAGAAATTTCTTTCGTAATTAACGATCTTGAAACTTCTCCTATGTATCTGAAAGTGATCGGCAAATCTTTGAATGAGAGCTATCTGTCTTCGTCGAATATCATCATCGGTGGACTCGGAAAGGACAGGAATGTGAAGATTTTGTGTGAACGGGGATGGGAGGGATATGTTGTGGTCAAGATCACAGTCATTGATGAAGACGGCATGTATTCCTTCACATTCTTTCAAGTACGAATCAGGCAGAGCGTCTTCTGCATCAGTCCTTCCGAGGGCTTTGCTCAAGGAGGTTCGACTGTCACGGTCTTGGGAGCTGGCTTCAGCGCCTTGTCGTCTTACAGCTGCTACTTCCAGTGCAGCCTAACAGGCCGATGCACGTCCTCAGCAACATTTCAGAATTCCTATCAGATCACTTGCAATGTGCCGCCAAGTCAAGGTTCGGCGTTGTCGTCAGCCGTCGATGTTTACGTAGACGGTCAACTTGTAAAACCTTCATCGTTCGCAACGTCAATCCAGTCGCTTCAAACTTGCAGTCAGGTATGAGCCCACGTACTGCCAAGAGATGTTGACATTGTGTGCAGGCGTCGATGACATTCCGATACGTCGAGGCCTGGGCAAGCGCATCTTACAGCAGCACTGAGAATCTTCTGCTCGTGACGGGAGGCGGGTTTGAAGTTGGCGGGGAATACACTTGTGTGTTCACATCGGAACGAGAGGTAAGGGTTTGCGCAGGAGTCCTACTGAACTTCTAACCACATTGCAGGCCACTACATTCCTGTCCTCACCTGCTGCCTGTCTATCGGACCAGCTGATATCTTGTGAGTTGCTCACGTTGGGATCCGCCATGGCAACGGGCAGGGCTGCCTTCACTCTCAGACACGCGTCCGTCCTCGTTCCTAAGGTCGGAGGGCAGGTGGAGTACATCTCAGTCCCGCAGTCATGGGCCCTACTCTATCCCTCCAGCGGTCCATCGCGAGGAGGGACGCAAATAGTGGTGGAGGGGGATGGATTTGACTCCTTTGCGGTAGACGCGAGCTACCGCTGCTCCTTCCGTGACCCAGGAGGAAACGTTGCCTTCTCCCCCGTCGTCCCCGCTCTATCTCCCAACACCATCCGATGCGTTAGCCCGGACTGGGGTCGCCACAATATAGCTGGACGCACAACCATGTCGGTGGAGGATACCAAGAGAGGAGTGACGGTAGCGTACAAGGGGCTGAGCGGGCAGAATACTTTTGTCTTCTCCTCCTCCTGGACTGACGTCGCAAGCTCGTTGGTTGCGGCAGCGAATGGTCAAGTCATCTTCACCGCCTCGGGTCTCAACACCTCAGACTTGTACCGCTGCATCTTGTCCCTCAACTCCTCCAGATACTCCTCGGCCTGGAAGGTGCCGCCAACCGTCTCCACCTTCGCATGCGACATCGTCAACTTCGGCGATTTCTATCCGGCACAGTCAGCCACCGTTGAGCTCCAAGGCGACGTCACCGGCGTGGTGGCCTTCCAAGGACAAGAGGCTTCTCGTACTGTGAGGATGATTGAGGCCTGGGTCTCCATCTCTCCCGGTCAGGTGCTGGCAGGTCAAAGTTTCGAGCTCACGTTCAGAGCTTCCAGCTTGCTCAGCAACGTCGTGTATGAGTGCGTCTTGACGTACAGGAGCAGCTCAGGCTACTGGTCGTCGCTCTACACCCCCATCGAGTGGGAGGACCAGTCCAACCTCATCCTCAACCAGCACTCCAGCAGCTCCTGTGTAGTCGCTTCGCTCACGGCTGTGACCTGCTCCTTCTCCTCCTGGCCTCGCGATTTCCCAGCTCGCGTCACCTCTGTCGTGCTCAAGACAGCCTCCTATCAGGTCATGTACACCGGCAAGCTCGGCGGCGACAGTTTGAACATCAAGGCAGTCTGGAATCAGTTCTACCCCTCCATGTCAGGCTTCCTCGGGGGTGCTCAGGTGACTGTCAGTGGGTTCGGCTTTGACCCTTCAACCGTCTACTTCTGCCGGGTGGACGGCAAGTCGTCCTACAAGACGTCCATCGCGGCTCGGCCCCTCAACTCCACCATGCTCATCTGCAAGTCTCCTGCTTGGATGGAGGCCGTCGCACTTGCGCAGCAGGTGGATGGTAAGGCAACACTGTACGCGAACTTCTCCGTCTTGTCCGCATCCCTGGAGACGCTGGAAAGCTCGAGCGCGTCGAAGAGCTTCATGTATCAGTAGCTCGTCAGATGTGGAGTGGAACTTTGGATGTTGTTTATCTATAAAGTCACAAACAAGAACAACTTGCTTCTACCACTTGAGCAGGTAGCTGTATCCCTGCATGAGAGGATGTGCGAAGTAAGCAGCGACGGTTCCAACAGTGATAGCGACGTAGGGGGCGCGAAGGAACCTGCCATGTGGATAAGCTCCCTCCCTCTCCTCCCTCCCTCCCTCCCTCTCCTCCCTCCCTCCCTCCCCTCCCTCCCTCCCTCCCTCCCTCCCTCCCTCCCTCCCTCCCCTCCCTCCCCTCCCTCCCTTCCCCTCCCACTCTTCTCCCTTCCTCACCCTCCCTCCCACTCACTCTTTGTAGTAATCTTCAGGCAGAGTTTGCCTTCCCTCGGCTATGGCTGCAAACGGCAGAACGCTTGTCCTGGATTTTACAGCCTCGAAGGCCTACCAGCCATGTTAACACAGACGAAACAGGACGGGAAGCAGGAGAAGGAGCAGGAGCAGGAGCAGGAGCAGGAGCAGGAGCAGGAGCAGGAGCAGGAGCAGGAGCAGGAGCTGACTTACCTCCCCGTACTTGTTCGCAAGTCGCTGATCGCCGTGCCAGCAACCGAAGAGGTGATGGACCATGAGGCCGAAGGACGTGGCCAGCATGAAGCTGTTGCCGATCCAGAGCGTGTGCGCCATGCACCTTCACGAATTGATGTCAGAAACTAATGAGGGAGAGAGGGAGGGAGGGGAGCGGAGGAAAAGGGAGAAAGGGGAGGGGAGAAAGGAGAGGAGAGGGAGGGGAGGAGGGAAGGGGAGGGGGGGGAGGGGAGAAGGGGAGAGAGGGAATGGAGGGCAAGGAGCTACCACATCAGTTGTCCGACCATCTGCGGGTGTCTAGTGATTCGCATGATTCCTGTCTCCCACATGTGAAACTTGGGCTTGTCCACAGCAGCGATCTCGAGCAGGTTGAAGGTGGAGGGGTAGAGGAACCAGAAGCTCACAAAGTTCACTACCCAGCACATGGCGTGCACCGCGTCTGAGGATCGCACGTCCCACAGCTGTACGCCATCATATCGATGGTTGATGAAGAACACGATGCAGGAGACGGCAAGCGGCAAGCTGACCACCCCGAAGAGGACTCGCCAAACGCGCTCCCCTACTCCCTCCTGCTCCAACAAACTGTTGATGGCCGCCTCAGCTTTCGGCCTCAACGACGCGAGACCGCTGTGGGCGACACCAAAGACGGAGAGGAGGAGGAGCATGGTTGCTGTGCTGTTGTCACTGCAGATGGAAGACAAGAGCCTGATGAAATCATCTCCGAACCCAGTTTGCGGGTCAATCCACAGGAACCACAACGCTCCCATAACGACAGTGAAGACTCCAACGAACTTGGCCCACGAAGCGATTGACTGGGCACTCAAGTCGAAGGCTCCCGAGTCTTCTCCTCTCAGCTCTGCCTGCATGTCCTGTGGCAGCTGCATATTCCAACCTGCTAGCCTCGACCTCGGGCGACGAGCCGAGGGGGCATGAGAGGAAGAGAAGGCTCTGAGCTGGCCGCTCCTCGAGGAGCATCCGAGCTTCGAGGAAGCAGACAAGGACATGAAGGACGTGCCATGCGCCGGTGTGAACGACTGGACATGCCCCGCTGCCGCCGCGAGCAGAACCCACTTGAGCATGGCGGCCCCCGGGATCTGTTTACTGAAGAGGACGGCCCGCCTCGGTTTCGGTCGATGGTTCCGACAGCGTGCTGGATGGTGCAGGCGCATGCGCTGATAGCGAGTTCAGGTCAGGAGACTGAAGGACAGGAGGAGGAGAGAGAAGAGACCTGAAGAGGGAGGGAGGGAGGGAGGGAGGGAGGGAGGGAGGGAGGGAGGGAGGGAGGGAGGAGCGATGGAGAAGGAAGGAGGGAGAGGGAGAGATGTGAGGATGGGAATGCACTACAAGAAAGAGTTGGTCAGACTTGACAACGTAGACCTGACCAGTCCATGCGCTGCAACATTTTGCATTGAACTCACTTGACTTGTAGGTCTTTATAGCTCTACTGTCAGACCTGTCAGACCTGTCAGACCAGCAGGAGGATCCAGGCTCCATCTGTCCATGTCCTCAACCATCGATGCTCAGATCTTTGACAACGGCATGGCTGAGATCGTTCTCAATCGCCCTCAAGCGTTGAATGCCGCAGACAGCTCAATGACGCAGCACATGCACGCCAAGTTGAAGCAGTGGGGCGAAGAGTCTCGGATCAAGGCATGTGTCCTCCGCAGCTCGTCTGACAGAGCCTTTTGCTCTGGCGGAGACGTGAAAGCTCTCGCGCTGGCCCTGCAGGAGGAAGAGGAGACGAGGCTGGCGCACGAGGCCCTGGGGAACGAGTACAAGCTTATCCACGAGGTGTCGAGCATGAAGATCCCTACCGTCTCCATCATGAACGGTTCCTCTCCCTCAACGGCTGCCGTGTAGGATTGACGTTGGTAGGGGTGACGATGGGCTTCGGCATTGGGCTGGGCTGCGCGTGTCGTTACCGAGTCGTGACTGAGAAGACAATCATGGCCATGCCGGAGAATGGTGAGGGAGAGAGAGGGGGATGAGGAGGGAGAGAGAGAGGGACGAGGAGGGAGAGAGAGAGGGACGAGGAGGGAGAGAGAGAGGGATGAGGAGGGCGAGAGAGGGGTATGAGGAGGGAGAGAGAGAGGGACGAGGAAGGAGAGAGAGGGACGAGGAAGGAGAGAGAGGGGTATGAGGAGGGAGAGAGAGAGGGATGAGGAGGGAGATAAGTGGAGGAGCGAGAGAGGGAGAGAGCGGGAGGACGTTTGGAGAATTGATAGACCGTAGGGATTGGCCTCTTTCCTGATGTTGGATTCGCTTGGCTGATGAGGAACCGTCCTGCTCACGGTCTTTATTTTGCGCTGACGGGGGCGAGAATTCACGCAAGGGACGACTCGTGCGGTAGGGAAAGTTTGATCAGCGTGGGTGCGAGAGTTGCTGTTTGTGATCCATGAAGCAGGAACGATGATCGATCTTGGGTTGGGAACACATTTTGTATCCACCGAGAAGGTGTGCGGTTGAAGCTGTTTGCGATGTTTGAGGGATGTGCCAGCTCCAAGATCTGATCGAAGACCTTGAGAACGTGGACTTGTCGAGCAACCAAGACGTTCGAATCGAGGGTGCTGAACAGCGAGCATGACAACGGAAATGACGAGGTCTGCAGAGTGTTTGAACAAGTACGCAGAGACGGGTGGGAGAGCTTCCAAGGGAAGACACAGGTAAGGACTGGTGGCTGTTTCCTGTGCAAGGCTAAGACTGATGGACTTGCAGTGGAATCATTGAGAAATTGTTTGATTACAAACAATACGACAACGTGCAAGATATCTTCGCTGCATTGGAACAAGTCAGCAGTACTGCCGTTGTCAACCACAGCTAAGGATGTAAGCAGGAGATTGATCGATCGGGCGATGAAGCTACCTCAGCCTTTCTGAGAGAAACTCTTTCCTGCATGCAGGTGCCGCAACTGACCTGTCTTGTTCCCGACCGTGATTTCACGTGTGTAGGCAGCATGTCCGTTTTCCCTCGCATCAACTCTCGCGCACTTCAAATCTGTCTTCCAACAACAATCTGTTGACCAACAGCTGAAGCTCACAGACCTCAAGTCTGTTCTGATGCAGGAGTACAGACTAGCCACCCGCCTTGCGTACAGAGGCGACTTCCTCGAAGGAGTTTCCTCAAAGTTGATTCGCAAAGACAACAAGTCAGCCTGGAACCCTCAGACTCTCAACGACGTCAAGGTGTGATGTTCTGTGTGCATGCGCAACCTGAATGTATGACCCCTCCTTCAGCCTTCAGAGGTTGCCGAGAACTTTCAACCTCTTGCATCCGAGCTCGTCTTTTAAAAAGTTTTGAATTCTCTGCTTCGTTTGTCCCGTATTTTCAAACTTGGTCTTGCTCTTCATCAACGGACAGAAATTGCCTTCCCTGACGGAACAGAAGCCAACTCGATCAGTTCTTGCGAGATCGAGTTGTCCATTTGCTTGGACTTGGACGATACAAAGAACAAACCCATTCCCTCGATGAACACGAACGTCCCCACCTCCAAACGCTTGAACTCACTTTCACCCCATCCTCTCATGCGCGTCTCCTCCTCCTCCGTCTTACTCGCACTTGATCTGCGCATTCTCCGAAAAATAAAATCCAACTCGACCAGCTGGTCGTCGCCATTCGCTGAGTCTTGTGGGCAGCCTCGTACCCACAAGAAATCTTTCAATTCATGATCTAAGTATTCCTCAAACGAGAAATCCATCAGGGCTCTGACTTGCGACTCGTCGTCGTAATCCATCCGAACAACTTTAAAAACACCCCAGTCCTTGAGATAGACATAATCTTCTTCTTTCATGGACTCTATGTCGAACTCGTTCATCCACATCATCCGGGGTCGCACGAGCTGCTTCGTCCCTCCCGTCTCGTTCATCGAGGTAAGAGGAACAGGTTCAGACAACGGAAGGGAGTAAGGGATGACCTCATCATAGTTCCTCACTATCACAACCCCATGCGCTTCCTGCCGGATTGCTCTCAGCTTTGGGATCCTCTTTGTGAGATAATCAAAGTTTGGTTTCCACAAATCGCTCTCGTCGAACAGCAACTGGGAATGTGACGTGTCAGCTTTCAGATACATATGCGATGCGAAACACTTGAAACCCTCAGCGCACATCCCACGATCCAAAAGTTCGAAGACGTCAAAAGAAAGACTTGCTGACGAATATTTGGATCGATACACAAAGGGCAGCACTGGAAAGAAGATTGGTTTGCTCGAACAATCGGCCCTGGTTTGGTTCTCCTGTGCTTGGGTACCATTCAACCCCCTCACGACGCTCATCAGTTGCTGATAGACAACATCAAAGGAAGCTTCACGATCTGAGCAGAGAACACGAAAAGTTCCCATCATCAGGTCAATCGCCGACAGCGCAAGCAGAGGCATCGCCTCGACTACCGATCCCCAACTCCTCCCGCCCTGTTTCATCAACACCTTGGGGTCCGAACATTCCCCATCGGTGCTCCGAAACCTGAGCGCCTGACAACAGCTCGATCTCTCGCTCACGAAACGCTGGAAGCGACTGCCTGCATCAGACTCCTGGCACGCTCGGTCGGTGCATTCGAGGTATGCGATCCCCTGTTCCACCGCAGATTCACACAACTTCACACAGACCTCATGGAAGTCGTCCATGTCGCACACACGATCTGGCGGGCAGTTCAGCCGCGAGCAAGCCGCAGTGATCCTGTTTAACTTCTCGCGTTTCGCACCTTTCTCTGATGAATCCCCGACATTGCAGACTAGGACGAATTCACCGCCATCTCTTCTGCTGATATGACTGGCAAACATAATTTTGCTGGCATCCTGCAGCCCTATTCCACCATGAGCATCGATATAAACACGGGTGACAGGATTGCTCTCAAGGAAGAGACTGTCGTAAAGGTCACTTAGCTCACAGTTTCCTCTGCGAGCTATCACTCTCCATGCCTTTTCCACCTTCTCTTCTACGCTGTCCTCGCGCGTTTCCAACTGCTTGAACACGTTCTTGACCATGTCCGTTTGTAACTTCTTCAGATCAGGATCGTTACCTCCCAGCAGACTCAAGCCGTCAGCTCCGAGCAGGTTCAAGCCATCAGCGATGGCGAGCGGGGAGTGAGCGGACGCGCCGGCAGTCGCAAGGCTTGACAAGAACAAGACGAGGGCACAGGGCATGACTGAGAGGAAACCACCAGAGGAGCACATGTCCTTCACACCATGGTGCTCTTCTTCCCTCCTCTCGTATCGGCGATGCCTGCTTGTCGCCATTGATGCGGCCCGCCGGCAGTGCCCGGCCGCCCGGCCGCAGTGCCACCGCCCGGCGGACTCCGACCGGACTCGGCCCGGCCTGGAACTTGGGAAACGTGTCAACGTAGTCACTCTACTGTGAACTGTGAACCGGGCGGCCGCCGAGGCTCGGAGGCAGAACCCACGCTGCTTGGCAGGCGAGTAAATTGATCACAAGATTCATCATAAAGTGGTTCAGGCGGTGTAATGGTTTACTAAGTTATTCCCTTCATACCATACATGTCACTGCGGAAGTGGTCAATTGTCACGATCAGCCTGCTGGAGATTCTTGGTGCCAGCGGGCGTCTGCCCTAGGAGGATCTTCTCGAACATCATCGCAAGCTCGTGCTCTCCCATGAACACATTCTGCCTCCGACCGTCGCTTGAAAAAAAACTCTTAGCCATGCCAAGACGAGCACGACGTGCCTTACCTTCCTTCCGCCCAGCCATGATCACTGAAGTCAAACTGCTGATTCATGGATGGCTGCAAGATGCAGTCTTCACTCGTTGGTGCCATACCATCGAACAGACTCGTCTTCTTCAGGCCGTTCACAACCGCGTCCAGTTGGCTTGGATGAGAGGGCATGTTTCCTTCCTTGATGTAGAGCTTTGCCAACTTCATGCAGGTCCGTTCGCTTGGAAAAATTCCTTCATCACGAGCTTCTCGTACAAGCTGCATCGCATCTTCTGTTGACTTGCAGGTGTTGAGCATGACCTGTACAAGGATCAGACGACCCCATAAAACTATTCTGGGAGATGCTCACATTGTAGTGAATTATATTCACTTTCTGAATCTTGCGAAGTCGGTTGAATAACTCCCACGCTCGACGCTCGGCATCATTTCCTTCCTGCAGAAATCCACATAAGAGGAGGGCAAGATCATCGAATGCGACGTACCTTGACCATTTCCAACAGCATGTCCGTCAGTACTCGATTGGTGTAGTCTTCTGGTAAGCCTTGAACTCCTCCACTCTCCATAAGGTTCCTCAATTCGTCAAGAACCTGAGGAAGCACTTGTTAGCTGTAACAAGGAACTTGATCAACCTTACTTTCTCAGCCTCGTCCACTCTTGCATCTCTCAGGTATATCTTGTAGAGCTTTTGGTAGGTCACTTCGCTCGGGTGGATGTTTGATTCGTGCATCTTCTCCATGAGCTGCTCAGCTGCCCAGCTGTCCCCGCAGGCATTAAGCATGACAGAAAACTGATAGACATCGGCTTTCTTCTGTCTACAAAGGCGTTCAAAAAACTGCCATGCTCTAGCCCTGCCATTTTCTCCATCTCTGAGCATTTCAACGAGAATCCTCGTCAACATGGGAGAAGTAGCATTCAACACGTCTTCATCGCTCATTTCCATTGCAATCTTAGCATTGAACATTGACTTGTTCTGCTCATGATTGGCATGCTTTGGCTGGGAGTAATTGTTGCGCCCTTGTCGTGGCAACTCCTGCGCTCCATTCATGTATGCTTGAGGGTGTTCCATGGCGGGATGTAAAGGCACTGGTATCATCATCATCGCGGGAGGCATGGCAGCGTTTATGAGCATTCCGTTGGACATGGCAATCATGTTGTTCATCGCCGGAACTTGAGGTGGCGGAAGCAATCCCATAGGATTCGGCATTGATTGTAACATTTCGGTAGCGACCATGGTCTGTTAAGAGTATCATGACTACGAAATGAACGATCGAAAAAGAGAAGGAAATCTACAAATACCTGCGGAGATGCCATCATAGTTCTATAATCTCCACCCATATACATTGACTTCATTGCATTCTGCTCAAACATTTGCGGAAAATATGGATATGGTATATACACACAGCCTGCATTTTCAACTCGACTATCAGTCTTTTTGAATGTCACAAAATGAATACCTTGATTCATGCCTTGTGCTTCTACAGCCTCTAAACCTCTGCTCGGTGCCTGATCAGCTGGCCTTTGCTTGTTTTTCTTAGATCTATTTTGCCTAGACTTTCCTCTGTTGACATGATTCGGATTTTGATGATGGTTACCGTTCAAATCGTTCTGAGAAGAATTACGCCGCCCCTCTTTGCCCTTTCTTGGATCCTCATTATTAGCTGCTTGGCGTCTTGCTTGCCTAGCCCTCCACACATTCTCTGGAGTTTCCAAATTTTCGTCACGACGCTGAGCCATTCTTCTGTTGTCTATGTTGCAACACAAAATATCACCGAAACTTGGCTTAATTGTATAGCAAAATGTAATCAGGCTCAGTAGCTGTTGAAGAGCTTCTAATATTGTCGACGGAACAGAAGCATTTCTAGATCTCCACTTACTTCAAGAACCACAGTTGAAAATTGGGTGTAGCTTAAAAACTGATTAGGATAGCGGTGCTGTTTGAACTCAGGGCATATTGGTCGACCTGCAAGCAAGAACAGGATCAAGGGATTAAGAGCTGTAATATCATCGCTGCAAGGTCATATTTCAACTCTTTGCATGGGTCTTCTGAAATCGTTCAGATTCTTGTTTGAAAACCTTTTTCACTTCTGAGGGATCAATCATGAAGACTTTCTCTGGCCTGTCCTACTAATTTCCTAGTCCTCAACAGGAAATCTCTTCTAGCTTTTCTTTTACCTTGTTGTTAGACTCCTACTTTATCAATTATGTGAATGCGAGCTGTTGTTTCCTTGTTTCCCTTCCTATTGCTTCAGTTGCACAAGGATGGTCAAAATTTTGCTGCCTTGCCTTTTCTACCTTTTTCTTCTGCTGATGCTGGCTCAGTTTTCCTTTTGCGTCGATTGATCTCCAGTCCTCTTCACTCCCTCTCTCCTCTCTGCTTCTCCTCTCTCCCACCCTTGCCATACTCTTGCACGCGTGTCGCCATGCTGCGATTGTGATTGATAACTTTAGGGACTGTTCCATAAGGGGTTGGTGCATCACTACTGTTTTCAAAATTTCTTTTTCAATTTCAAAATTTACGATATATTTCGAAAACATTTGTATTGTTTCAAATAGTTTAGAATGGGAGAGGCTGGTACAAACTTTGGTCAACCATTGTGAGGAGGAGCCCTGACCTTAGGCTCCTATGACCTGGTTGTACTGGATATGTTGACCTTTCCCTGCACAAAGTACCCTGGATTCTTACTACCGCGAGTGGGGTACTTGAATGAGGGGGGTGAATTTGCTAGGACCTGCTATGGCAGAGGAGAGGTCACTATCAGAACTGACGTCTCCTCTTGTTGGGTAGGGAGGGGATGAGGCCACGGTTCAATACTGAGCCAGCCACTGAAGTCACTGCTAATGCCCGGCCCCGGGGATGATAAGCCGCTCGAGTCAGCGGGCCCGGATATGGACTGGCCTGAGGCTTTACTAGTTAAGCCTCCTCGACTCCGTCAGGCTCAGGGGCTGTTGCAAAGCCAAGTTAAGTTAAAAATCAGTATCGGAGGACAATCAGGAGACTCGGCGAGGACTGAGGCTTGACCCTGACACTGTCGCACAGGCCAAACGGCGAGAAGAGAAAAGACAGCGAGAACCAAACCCAACTTGTCCTCAGTGCCGACTGCTGTCCCCCAAACTTAATTGATACCTTCACTTAACTGCGCGCAGGACAATTCCCGCCGGGCCCCGCGCCATGTCAGTCTACTGAGTTACTCAAAGTCCGATCTACTAACTTTGAGTAAACTAGACTGGGCCGGCGTTGCCGTCGAAAAAAAAAGTCAGGCGGCTCGGAGGGGACCGTCGGACGGTGCAATTTGAATTCAAGTTTGCTAGTATTATCTCTTTTTTGAATTTGCACTGTGAAATTTAGCTAATAGCTGGGAAATTGGATCAAAATCCCTACTACCCCTGCACTAATGTTTACTCAGTCCCCTCCCCTAAAGTTCTTAGCTTCGCTCCCTTGCTACTTCAAGTCCCCTTCTCACGTCCCTCCTCACCGCCAGGATGCAGTTTTCTGTCGATAGGCGCCGCTATGGATCTCTCGCTTACAGTGAGCACATCGAGAACCAGCACATGCACATCACCTTCGATGGAGGCAGCTTTGAGGCCTCGTCATCTACCTTCACCTACAGCAGACAGGGCGCCTTCAACATCTCTGCCCCAGCGTCAGGAAGCTCACGGCTGTGGATTGGAGGGGAAGTGTCATCTCCCTTTGGTGCTGGATCGTCTGCCCGTAAAGCTCCTTCTTCAGACGAACTCTTTAGAAAGATGAATGCCGTGACTGAGAAGCTTCGTCGTGAACAAGGATGGCCTAGTTCTAAAGGAGACGAACATGATTTCTCGAAACTCGTCAAGGCACACAAACCAATGTCAAACTCTGATAAGCAAAAATGCATTGATTACAGAAACCGCATCTGTCATCAACAAACACTGACAGATGACGAGAGCCGCGAGTTTGATGACCTTCTCAACCGCCTGTTGTGGACTTAGCTCCCAGGTCTCTTCAAGATTGCAATATAATACAACCTTTAAGGATTCAGAGCCGGGATCCAACTTGTTTGCAATACATTGACTGTTACAATCGTGCAACACTGTTTGTATCCATCAAGCAAGTATCCTGAATCTTCAAAGTATGTTTCTGAAACAGGCAGGCTGGGCCAGCGTTCCCACCGTGAAGTCACTGAGTTCAAGTGGTGTGTATGTAGTAGTAGTTAACCTCCAGTAAACTTAGAGCTTTCCAAATAGCTTCTGATTCTCTATCTGCTAAAAATCTGCTCTACAACATTCTGGTTTGTGTAAATGGCTTGTGTGTGGGCACTGCGATAAATGACACCATCTTCTCCGTCATCCTGGGGGGACCGCACACATGGCGACCTGCAGGCACCGCAGCCCGTTATGGACTGATGCGCATGAGAAGTGCAATGCCGTCCTCAGTACCCTCATCAAAGATTCAGGAGTGAGATGCTGCGTCCATGTGCAAGGCGTTCCCGGCCAGGCAGATCGTTTCCCAACATGGCCCTGAAGATTATCACGTTGGGGATTTGGCCTTCCGCGATTGCAGGCTACTACTCGAGGCAGATGGCAATGATGGGGTAATCCTGGGCTTCAGCACGTCACATGCCAAGTTTTTGACAATGATGGGATACAGGACCTTGCTCGGAGAATGCAAGCAGCAGCACAGAGGAACTTCCTACCAAAGGCCTTTCTTCCCATCATCTCCAGCACTGATGGACTCTTGCAGGATGATGCGTTGCGCTTCAAGAGTCCGTGGTGGGTAGCGGATCGCTCGGTGAACAAGGAAACGGCAGCGATGGATGGTCTCTCGGCCTCGCAAGACGTCTCAGGTGACTCTGTGATCCGACTTGCAAACTTTGAAACTTTCAACGCATCCGCCGGGTCCAGGATCTTTCTACTCTCCTACTTTCAAGCCTTTACTCAAAGTTAAGTTAAAAATCAGTACGAGGACAACCCGGAGCGGCGGCCGGGCCGCTGGACTCGCCGCGGGGTGACCGTAACCGTGAGGGTCTGAGTACTGTACGGCCGCGGGGGGCGGCGGTGGTCAAACCGGCCTGAGGCCCGAATCAGATAATTCAAGCCTGTAGCCTGTACAGTCGGGATCCGGGCCCGCCCCCCGGGCCGCCCGCAGTGTTGCCGCCCGGCCGAACCCTACCGTAGCCGCCGCCGTCCGAACGGTACCGGTAGCAGCAATGATGGAGCGCCGACTCAAATCCTCCTCAGCGGCTCGGAGAGGCTCCATTCCATCATGATGATCATCGCTCCTACTGCTCCTCCCTCTTCTCCCTCCGAAGTTCTTCCCGGCAGTGAACCACCACCACCACCGTACCATCTCCTTGTCATCCTTGTCATCCTTCTCTTCCTTCCGAAGCTGAGTCAGGCTTCCCTCTCCTCCTCCTCCTGTTCAGTGTTGCTCAGTCCTGTTGCTCGTCCTGCTCCTGCTTCAGTGCTGCCTATGCTACTCCTGAGTCTGCTCCTGCGTCTGCTCCTGTGTCTGCTCCTCCTGCTCCTCAGCCACTCGAATTCGTCGTAATAATAGCTGTCACGGTTTCATGCTGAGACTACCATGTTTGTTGTTCGAGCTTCCTTGTAGAAGTAATATGTCCTAGAATTTGCTGGGTGATGGAGAGCTGTAGGTATTGAGGGGCGTGACTCGTTTGTGGCTGATTGAGTCGATGCGAGGGAACGGGAAGTGAAGATATTGAAAGTGATTCATCTAATAGAACAAGAGATGTTCAATTCCGTGATTGTGAGAAAGAAATTTTTCTTAAAATTATTCATTTGCAATCTAATTTCATTATGATACATGTCCCTCTTGAACAACGTTCCAGAATTCATCTTTTTCACTCTCCAATTTTTAATTGGCATCCAAAGCAACATCTTTCTTTCAGCTAATTTGGCGCAGGTATCCAGGAGTTTGAAACACAACATGTCGGCACATTACGGTACATGTGCAGTTTTTTCACCTGTTCTCGCGTCATGACTCTCTGTCAGTCATGCAGCCCTCTTACGGCAGCGCTCCTCCGCCCTCCTTTCCCCAGTACCCCAGCGGCATTCCTGGGACCTCTCAGATCTACAACCTCCCGCCCTCGCAATCGACTCCCGTCCCGGTAGGTCGCAGGGGAGCGCATGGCACCGGCTGACAGTCATGGCAGATGATGCCGCCCAACGGCACGCAAATGATGCCCAACGGGTCTCAGGTCATGCCAGCCCCGCCCCCCATCAGCGCTCCCATCATCTACATCGACCCGGAGCCAACGGCCGAGCTCTTCAAGGAACAACCAGTTGTGTACAACCTCTAGGCATGAAGGTGAATGTAGCCAGCGCATTGATTTTGCAGGATGAGATAAATGTTTGTGATGCCTTCATTAATCCTTTCTCATGCCTCAAAGATGTTGTCCGATCGCGTTTCCTGACAGCGAAGTATCGGGTGCCATCCGCTTCCAATTTACAAGTTCGCGCAAGATAACTTCGAGGCAATGCTTGGCTGTCTTCTTGCCCTCGGGAAGCTTATTCGTCACACCTGACCACCCATGAGACGAGGGAACCCCGGGGCAGCAGCAGCTCACCTAGAATCTCCGCTGAGTGCTTCACGTAGAAGTCTAAGCTGTCGGGGTCCTTGCATTTGTTGGTCAGCTTGGCTAGCCTCACCCTCTCCGACGCGAACTGCTCGTCGAGGTCGAAGAGGTCGAGAGCTGGCGGAGGAGGCTGACAGAGGGTGAGCACAGCGACTGGGCACAAGAGTTGAAGAGAGCACCTCTCTGAGGGCAGGAGGGAAGACAGCGGGTTGAAGCGGAGGCAGGGGAGCCTCGAATTGCGGAGGGATGAGGGTGAGCACTTCGTGCTTGACGTCGAGCTGCTTGTAGAGTTTGATCGCCTCCGGAATCTCGTCGGTGTCAAACTTAAACAGCTTGTCGTCAAACATGGACGCAAAGTCCCGGGGGATCTCCTCAGCCTCCTGCCGAAAATCCATCAGTTTTGCCTTTTCAGTCGGAAGTTTGGGACCTGAAGGCAGCACCGGACGCGACTTGCCAGTGCCCCAGTGTCCGGAACGTGATGATACTCGTTGATGTCCGGATCTTCAGCATCGTTGGAGTTGAGTTTGATCTCCTGCCCCGGCACCAACCATCTACATACACATGAGCCAAGGACATCAGCAGAATCCTCCAAGATCTTACTTCATAAGGACATCCAATAATTTCCCGTTTTCCTCCTTTAACAACCATTCGTCATTGAACACTTTGTCTGACCCGAGTACAATCAATTTCCCCTGCTTGTGCAACTGGAACAAACTTTCAGTCGCAGCAATTCACACCAGAACCACTGACCAACTTTCCGTCATACACTGCTAATACCGGCCGATTCAGGGGATAAGATTCCTGACCCGTCGACAGCAGGGGGATGGCAGGTTTCTGAACATTCAGTGTCGCTCCATACGGGAACACGATTTCTAGCCCCCCGTGCAAATCATGCTGTGTGGAGGAGAGATCGACGCTTTCCCTCTCGCTCTTGGACGCTCCTGGAAGGCGAGCTATTGCATGAGAAAGCTCTCGATTCAACACTCCGTTGGATATCAGCACTTCCTTCGGATGTAGGTACTTGTGATACACTGATCGCACGGCACAATCGGAATTGATGTAGATCCCATACTCCTCCTGCAACACTTGTTCAGAAAACATGTATCTTTTCAATTGTTTGTGATCAATTACCAGCAAAAAATTGATGTTTGTTCCATATTTTCCCTCTCCTCCTTCTCCCAATAACATAAACACGCTCCCACCATCCTCAAGGTAGTTCTTAATGACAGCAAACTCTGACTTGGTGAACTTCTCGCGAGGACCCCAGAAGACAGCAATCTGTGTGTTTCTAACGTTGTATATTGATTGTTCGATCCCTTCCTTGTTCTGTTCACAGCATTTCAGACATTCGAGCAAGGCAACAACAAGAGCCAGACCTCGATGATGTTGTACTGCATCTTCAGCCTTCGTTGAAGCTTTCCACACATGTCATCAGGATGAAAGCAACAAATGAGCAGTTTACCTGTTTCAAGCCTTTGGAAGGCGTGAAGGTCTCTTTCTTGAAAGTGTCAAACACGACCGTAATGGCGTTCGGCCCTGCACCGTCGCCGTCCATCGTGTAAAAACTTCTCCCTACAATGTTACAATCAGATTGCCAAGGAGAATCAAAGAAATTTCTTCATTGATGGAGCAATTCAATTGAGATAAATGAATTCGATGCATAACAAATTGCATTATCGCTGTTTGTTAGACAATACCGTTCGATCAGTTTTCTGTGCTTTGATGTTCTATCTACAAGGCTTTCACCAGCTATCAGAAAAGCAGGCATGTAAATCTCGCTCCAAGAAAACGAGAAGGAGCAGCCTGAAAGGGTGTTCTTTGGAGGTTTCCTTCAATCGAAATTCTGCTGGGAGCACATCCATGCACCCTACTTCAAATCTCATATCACCTGGGACACAGAACTCTCGCGCTCCTTCTCATCTCTAACTTCAGGCTATCCCGGACTTCGTTGTCAGTCCTATCGCAAATATGCCACACCACATGTACATCATCTAGCACCTCTCCTCTTACAACAACTGCATTACTGTACCACCTTCGCTTCTTGCACACACCCTCCTCGTCTGCATCTTTCGCTCTCCGCATTCTGCTGCTGTTCTCCTTCCATCTCTTCCTCATGTCCTCTAGTGCATGCCTTCTTCCCTCGCTCGCTCGCTCCCCCCTCCTGTTCCTCCTGATCCCCCTGCTCCTCCTCCTGCTCTCTTCCTGTCCTTCTCATTCGTACTGATCTATCTGCGCATCTTCGCCCGTCGGTTGTTTTCTGCATAATTTACTCAACCAATTCGAACCCTCGGACCCTACCTCTAGAGATGTGAAAGTACCCCTACCTTCTGAAACACTCTTCAATCCACCCCCATTCCATAACTTCATCATCACCCCTACCCCTTCCATCACAATAAACCTCCTACCCCCCATATATTTGAACTTACCCTACCCCACCCCGGTTTTTCAAATGTGTGTACACACACTACCGCTACTTGCAACGCTCAGATCAAGGAAGAGCCCATGGTGGGACCATAAGATTACCCGGTATACGTCGGACCCCTACCTCCACACTTCGTCTCTCAGTCCGGGGGTTGAGTGGGTATGAGGCCGAAAGAAAGTGAAAAACATGCTCAAGGTGGGGATCCTTGCGGCCATGTCGGCGATGGCGGCGGGAGGAGGAGGAGGAGGAGGAGGTGGAGGAGGATCATTGGATACAGCATCTTTCCCGAAATCTCAGCAGTTTCTACTCAGAAACCAACAAGTTTGCTTCGCATCGCAAGGCACCCCTCAGAAATTTTCGGTGTTACAACGAGGATGTCGATGTGAACTGGGATCAGGAACGAGCAAGAAGTTGAACGAGGCGAAGACTATCGGGCGAAGGACAAGAATTATTTCACCCATCAACATGAAGAAAGAAGAGGTAAATTACGAACGAGGCGCTAAAGTTTAGTCATCAAGATGTTTGGCAGGATCCTGGAGTGTTCACTAAGTTAATCGATGAAAACACGTCGATTGCAGTTGGAGTCTTTAGCATCAGCGTCTTATTGGTCAACAGGTCTTCTTAAGGTCTGGTTGGAATTTGAACTGACTTGTTTTGTGCAGGCTGTTCACATCAGACCTCAGCAACGCACAGTGATCACAGTAAGGGATCATGACGACAAACTGATTTACTCCTCTCTCAGATCGCGGGTGGATCTCCTCGGCATTGCTGTAGCGTCAGCTCTTCTCGTCTCCGCACTCTCCACGCTTGACCTTGAGGTTGCACCTGTTCTTGTTGACTTTGCACTGAGTTGTTACGGCAGGTAAGGGAGAAAGAGACGGTGAAGCTGGCAGGAGTTTGGTTTGAAGAAGTCTGTTCCTCTGAGCTCTCTGCCGCCTCCTCACTTCTTCTTGAAGCTCCCGAAGCTGCTCGACAAGAGAAGAGAGTCGCTGTTGCTGTGGAGTCTGCAGACCATCCTCCAGGTCGTCAGCCTGTCGCCTTGGCCCCCCCTCATGCTCCGGCAGGTGTGCTCCAATGCTCAGTCCGTGATCATCGGCAAGGGTCAGCAGGACATGATCGTCTTGACTGGAAGCGCCTGACTGTGAAGCAGAGGGCGCGACTCTCGTGCGCTATGGGGTGATGGGTCGAAACCAGCAGCTGCTGGCGAGGAACTTTGTTACCTTCGCCCCGACGTGACGGGGGGTGCAGGAAGGGGCGATAGTCAGGTCTGCTAAGCAGCAGGGGAAGCAGCAGTACCTTGCGGATCTGCAGGTGGGAGGAGGAGGAGGAGGAGGAGGAGGAGGAGGAGGAGGAGGAGGAGGAGGAGGAGGAGGAGGAGGAAGGTGGGGGCAGGAGCGATGTTCTCTTGCTCACTTGCTGTAAGATTCTTCCGGGTCGATTCGAGTTCGACTACCTTCCAATCAACACCCAGGCTCTGCTTATTCAGGTGCTGCCCCTGCCCCCTGCCCCTGCCCCCTGCCCCTGCTCCCGCATGGATCGTTTCCCACACTCGCTTGCAGCCAGTGGGAGAAGCTGTCATGGTGGTGGCAGCAAACAAGGTCCGTCCATTTACAGCGAGGGACCTGCTTATGCTGGAGTTGCTCGCTCCGATCCTCGGGTACGCGCTTGAGTCATGAAGAAGCAGAGGGAGAGGCGGCAGCGTCTATCGCAGATGGACTGCGCGAGGAGGTTGAAGGAAGGCAATGAAGATGAGAATGAGCGACGAGGGAGGAAGCAGGGAGACGAATCGTCAGGAAACAAACAAGGCAGCCAGACTGGAAGCCGGAGGCACAACTCGGGAGACAGGGGGGATGATTGGGAGGAGGGGAAAGGTTGCGGGAGAAAAGAAGAAGAGCTTGAGGGTTCAGGGTTTTCAAAGTGAGGAATGGAGACATTCTCCAACTCCTTGCCTTCCTTCCCCTGACCGCCTTCCTTGACTTGTTTCACCCACACCTTTAAACACTTATCACATTGTTCTACACACAAAGAGAATGAATATCAGAAACATCGGCCACTTTGCCGTTACTATCTCCAGCTCCCCTCTTGGTCCCTGCAAGAACTGCTCCATCCCCTCCTCCCCGGCTGCTGACCCACCTCCTTCAGCAATGTTCGCGGGGTGTCGGCCAGGCTGTCTTCTCGAAGTTCTGTGCGCAGTCAGTCCCTTACTCCCAGCATGCAGACACTCACGTCGACAAGCAGCAGCAGCGGGAGCAGTGCAGGAGGAAGGAGCTCCGCCTCTGCGCGACGTGTCAGAAGGGTCAGTGGAAGAGCGGAGGAGACCAGGGGCCATGTCGAGGAAGGGAAACAAGGAGCAGATGAGATCTCCTGCTGCCTGGAGGAGCATGAGGTTCAGAATCCCATCGTGAGCTTTCATGCTAACCTGCTCTCCTCGCTGGATCCCCTCGCCTGTCTCGTCCTCCTCCACGAACGGCCACTGAAGATCCCGGTCAGATCCGGCGCAGGACGCAGCTGCCTGTACCTGGTGCTGGGTCGACTCGTGCTTCATAATGATGCCCCTCAAGACTTTTGACGTGCAGTAGGCAGACGAGAGGGCCTGAGCAGCGAGTCACTTGCCTCTTCAGCGTGAGCAGTTGAGACCTGCATCCTGTATCGGTCGTCGCTGTTGGTCGCAGCACAGGCAGACACTGCAGCTGTTAGGACGTCGGACACGCGGAATGCTCTGTGGGCCTGGAGGGGAGGGGGGAAGGAACGTCAACAAAGGAGGAAGAGAGAGAAGTAAGGAACCTGTTTGCACGTGAAGAACTTGGCTGCAAGGAGTCGGAGTGTGAGCTCCACCGCCTGCAGCTCCTCGTCAGCTGAGAAAGAAACACGAAATTCTCCTCCTCACCTGCCGCCCAGCCTTGACAACAGCTGGGTTTTGCTCGTTCTGACAACCACGTGAGTGATCAGAAGCAGAAGGTGATAAATGGGGAAGAGAAACCAGAGAGGAATGTAAGAGGGAGGGAGGGAGGATAAGAGTCAGGGCTGGGGCAAGGGAGACTGAGACGAGACGCATGTACACCTGGCGTTGTTGATTCTCAATCTGCCTCATCAAGGTGTGTCTCTGTCTGCTTGGAATCGCTTCCATGCATTCCGACGAGATGCGAGGAAGCGGCGCGAAGATGCCATTGGAGGGCTTCACCCCCATCGAACTTCCGCTAGCAGATGCCTATGAGGAGGAGGAGGGAGAAGGAGAGGGAAGGGAGAGGAGTCAACACAGTTTCACATCTCAAGAGCAGCAGCACCTTGTCCTCTCCTTGTTTTCCTCCGGTCACAGGTCCATTCCTCGTCAGGTTCGGGTTGTCGTAAGCCGCTGACTCGAAGCTGCTCATGACCGGGCCGCCGCTTCCTCCTCTTTGGAAGCTCGCGGGAGGGAAGGCCATGCTGGACGCGTGAGCATGCGGCATCAGCACTTGATCGCCTGGAGACTGCGGGCTACGAGGGTGGGGGCTCGGGGACCCGTCATGGATGGCGAAGGCCTGGAGGGACTGAGCGGCTTTCTCGAGCATGGCGAACTGGCGGCGATGGGACGCGAGGGAGTCGGAGGGGTCGACGGACCAGTCACCATGGAAGGAGTTGTCAAGGCTGTTGCTCTCTACGTTCACGTACCCGTGGGCTGAGCCGTCAAGCGAGCGGATCCCGTGGAAAGTCGCGCCATGCAGTGAGTTGTCGGCGGAGCTCCAGCCATGCTCGGACACGTCGCGTGAAGCCGGAGGGGACGTGATCTTTGAAGGCCGCTCCTCTGTGCCATGGCCGAATGAGCTCGAGTGATTCACGTAGTCACCCAGCTTGCGTTTCAGCTTCGAGTCGCAGTCCGTCAGCGATGACGCGCGTCGCGGCTTCCCGGCTTCCGCGCGCATGGCGTCACTCACGGCGACGTTGCTGGCCTTCCACTCCTGCATGCTCGGGTCATCACGGAGGAGAGGAGGGAGAGAGCTGACCTGCCCGAAGCCTTGCATGACTATCTGGAACGCCATCATCCACTGAGCAGCCTCCCACTGCGACGCTGCTCGGAGGACGAGGGTCCGTTCGTGGCAAGTGACGATGAGCTCGTTGATCTCTTTGCCCTTGTGCACCTTCAGGCCTCCACCATCGAAGTTAACCATCTTCTGAACTCCCAAGTTGTTCGGGTCTGCAAAGTAGGAGAGGCGCGTCTGGCTCAGGACGAACCATCGCTTGCGCCACCCCCAACCTCCCGAAGTTCTCTTCCTCAACCACCCGCTCTTAATCGAGTCAGCAAATGCTTGCGCGTTGCTCGAGCTCGAGCTCGCAAAGTGCGGAGTGATGGGCCCCCAACTCTGATGCTCCTTCCCTCTCGCTCCTCCGTTCTTCGAGTCCGACTCGGCAGCCTTGTCTTCGCTCAGCTCCGTCTTCACGTCTACTCCAGCATCACCCCGAGCTGCAGCAGGAGTCTGCTGCTCCTCCTTCACATCCACAAAGTGCTTGCTCATCGTTTCATCGCTTCTCGGAGACACGTCAACGTATTCGGGCACGAACGTAAAGGCGCTGGCTAAGGGCAGGCTCCGGTGCCCCATGGCGCTTTCAAGGTAGCAGGGCTTGGGAGGACTTTCAAGAGGCCTGCCTGGTCCATCCAAGCTTGCACGAAAGCTTTCAAGGTTAGAGCTGTAGAGGTCTAAACTCGTCCTGTCCTGTCCCCATGCTACCTCCGATGAAAACTCGCACCCAGCATCATCGAGGAACAGGGGCTGGTCGGCAGACGCCATATCCAAGCTTGCTCTGCCCTCCCCAAAGAAGTCCATCCTTCCGCTTTCAACCTGCAACTGCTTCGCTCTCACTGACCCTCCTGCCCTCCCTCTGTCATCCCCGTGAAAGAGAACAGTTGCTGGATCCTGCAGCCGGCGTTGAACCAGTCCGAGCCGCAACCAGCGTCATCTTCAAGCTACAAGGAGCATGCTGTAGTCCTCGAGGCCCGAATCTAATGAGCAGCAAGATGCAGGATCATCTCCCTGCAAAACAATGAGTCCACGAACAAGACACATCAAACAAGGAATAACTGAGGGCAGATGTCCACAGTTTCGAAAGAGCTAAGGAATGGCAATGCAACATGGGATTGGTGCGAATGGTGTTCATGACAGCTCAAAAGCAGGGGATAATTCGGGCGCACAAAGAAGAATGAACATAAACAGGGACGTGCGAGGCTGCCCAAATCTCAAGCTGGAAGGTTTACGAAAGAGGAATGGACAGATTGTGGCAGGTTGTGTCAAGTCGAGGAAGGGCGAAGAGGAGAACAAGTAGGGGAACGGAAGAGGAAGGCAGAGGAAGGCAGAGGAAGGCAGACGATAGGCAGAGTCTTCAAGGTCAGCGAAGAACCACCAAGGTGGCTAAACACCGCAAGCTTGCATGAATGCGCGAGTAGGGGAAAGGGGGTTAAGGGATTCGTCAAAAGAGGGGGTAGGGGTAGCTGGCTTTTGGGCTTACGGCCACGTGGGGGTAGTCATCAAGGGGGTTATCATGAGGGAGCACTGAACATGGGCTATATTGAACCGGTGGTACATCAAGACAAGGGGTGGATCTAACAGTTGAAAAGATTTTAAGGGTAAGGGAGGGGTGACAACTTCACAGTGAAGCCCATGGGGTCTAATGGTGGGTTCAGATTTAGAGAGATTTGTTACTTGGGGATACACCATCGGCCAGGGCCACGGTGTAGAGTGGGTAGGTCTTATGAGGGGGTGGGGGTAGTACAGTCGGGGAGCAAAGATGTGAGTATTACGATTGTGGGGTCAGAGGAATTTGTTCATGGGGTGGTGACCATGAGGGTGGGGTAGTGGGGTGAGGCCCTGAAAGATCGCAAGGTCGTGCCTTTATTGTATCTAACTCAAAAAAGATAGTACCCCCACCGTACGAAAATTTGATATTTGGTAGGGTGGGGTGTTTTCTAAGGGGTAGTTTAGAAGTTAACAAGGGGGTGGTCGTATCAGGGGCCGCGGGTTCGCAGCGTCTAATTTAAAAGTGTTGTATCGAGTTTAACTTAGGTTCACAGGATTCTATCAACGTGACTCTCAGTCACTCGATGACCCGGGGCCCGGAGGCCCGGCGGCACTCCCGAAAGCCTGTTTTAACTAAAAACAAGCAAAGGGTGAGGGAAGTTACGGGTCCTGCTCAGTGAGGAATGGTGGAATGACGGCAAGGTGGCAAGAGGGGGTGCGGCGATGGGTCATGCTGGTCGTGGCTGTTGCGGCGATGCTGGGGGACGGAGGCTGTGCTCGCAAGTCTCAAGACACCCCTCGGAGTTTGCTCTCGTCAGGTAGAGCATGTGTGCAGGTTGAGATAGGTGACGGTCTCTTGTGCTCAGACCCGGTGATGCCTGTGAATCGGTCGGGATTATCTCAGATCCCTTGTAACCCTTGGCCTGCTTGCTCCCTCAAGATCTTCCTTGACTGGGTGGTGGATGAAGCGGTATGCTGTCCATGCTAGCTCTGTCCTCTCGCTTGCCATGCCCTCTCTCGAGTCTTGTTGCTGACTCCACACCAGGAGACTCTCTCAAGGGCGAAGCGTCTGCGCGATGACATCAGTCAGGTACAAGGAGTGGGTTGATGCTGTCAAAGTGAAACTCTCTCGCTCCTCAAGATCTCCTTCTCCAACTGCTCGAGAAACTCCTGCAGCGCTCAAGAGAGGATGAAGGAGATCGACGAGCAAGTGAAGAAGGCTCAAGCCATGCTCGACAGCTCCGAGGACACAGAGGCCAAGTACAACAAGGTGCGAGAGGGAGGGAGGGAGGGAGGGGAGGGAGGGAGGGAGGGGAGGGAGGGGAGGGAGGGGAGGGAGGTCGGCGTCGAAGGCTCCGTGCGAGGTTCAGGGACGCCTTCGTGGGA